GGGATAAGTGATCACTTTTCTTTTTGCCATATGAGTGGTTAGAATTAAGGGTAAAAAGATACATAGAAGATGGTGTGCAAATAGCACAGCTAAGGTACCCTTCTGATGAGGTCTATTGTAGAAGAACACTCTGAAAGAGCAGGGCTAGCTGGGAAGCCTTACACTCTGTATTACCACCTCTTCTTGGCCCCATATGCCTGTAACTAAGGAAAGAGGAGGACCTAGAAGGAGGGGGGAGGAAGAATGGGGATGTAGTGTGGAGATTGAGGGTTGAAGGAACTTCATGGAGGATCAGCAGCAGCCTGGGAAGATAGCCTCGGGATAATGGAGAAACATCTTTGAGCCTTTATCCCATCTGGATGTGGTTGAGAGTTCTAAACGGCTTTTCCCTCTTGTTTAGGGTGACTCTGGTGGACCTGTGGTCTGCAATGGACAGCTCCAGGGCATTGTCTCCTGGGGCTATGGCTGTGCTATGAAGGGCAAACCCGGTGTCTACACCAAGGTCTGCAACTACGTGAGATGGATTCAGGACACCATGGCTGCCAACTAAGCACATTTATCTCTTCCTGACCCATCCCTATTAGACAACTTCATCTTCCTATGCCTAAAACAGTACCTAAATAAAAATATTTTGTCCTGCACTAAATATGTCTAAGAACTCTCCTTACTTGGTATTATAAACTTTCTCTGGAAACAGACTGCTGAGTAAGAAAGTGGATATTGACTTGAACTCTCATATGAAGGTAGAGTTTAAAAGATTATTTGGGTATTTATTCACCTAATCAAAATAAATTCACTGATCACTTACTATGTGCCAGATTGTGTAGGACATCCTATCTAATAAAAGACAAAAAGGGTAATTGACCATACCTTTGCTACACTTCCCATTGGCTAATCAGGGTGATATGAAAATTAACCGTCAACCAAGATGGCGGCTGGCAGCCACACAGCTGAAGCAAGCAGGAGCCTTGCTTGCTCCAGTGATGGAGGAAGCCAAGGTTCCCCACCTGCTGTGGCCTGGCTCTAAGCTCCGAAAGCAACAAAGTTTCAATTATAGGAGCCAAACAAACCCCAGATACCTGCTTACAGCAGGCCGTGGCCTCAGAGCTGGAGCTGGCTATCAGCTCCAGTGACAGCAACGAAGTTTCAATTATAGAAGGCAAATAAATCCCAGAAGAAAAAAAAACAAAAGAAAAAAAGGAGAGACTGAGAGCTTCAGTCGCCCACCAGCCTGAAAACAGCCCTCAGCCCCTCACCCAGGCTGGCCAGGCACCCCAATGGGGACCCCCACCCTAAAGGGGGTGTGGCCAGCCTGAAAACAGCCATCAGCCCCTCACTCAGGCTGGCCAGGCAGCCCAGCAGGACCCCCACCCTGATCTGGGACATCCTTCAGGGCAAACCAGCCGGCCCCCACCTGTGCACCAGGCCTCTATCTTATATAGTAAAAGGGTAATATGCAAACTGACCCTAACAGCAGAAAGACTGGGAATGACTGGTCACTATGACACACACTGACCACCGGGGGCAGACGCTCAATGCAGGGGCTGCCCTCTGTGGTCAGTGCGCTCCCACATGGGGGAGCTCTGCTCAGCCACAAGCCAGGCTGATGGCTGCCAGTACAGTGGTGGTGGTGGGAGCCTCTCCTTCCTCCTCAGCAGCACTAAGGATGTCTGATTGCAGCTTAGGTCTGCTCCCCGCTGGCAAGTGGACATCCCCCGAGGGCTGCCGGGCTGCCAGAGGGATGTCTGATTGCCATCTTAGGCCCAATCCTCCGGGGAGCAGGCCTAAGCCAGCAGGTGGTCATCCCCTGAGGGGTCCCAGACTGCGAGAGGGCACAGGCCAGGCTGAGGGACCCCTCCCCCCTCACCAAGTGCACAAATTTTTATGCACCAGGCCTCTAGTTGAGGATATAAAGATGGATACGAATAGGGGTAACTGTTACCATCACATTTTTAAACAGGTAGTGACACTAACTTGCGGAAAGTTAAAATCAACTTCCCAAAGTTATTCAACTAGCTCGTAGGAAAGCTGGGAGATGCCCTGGCTGTCCTTATTCCCAAAGCACCACTATTGCTTGACACTATGCTCTCTCTTTTGTCTCTAATCTCTCTGAAATACTGTGAGGCTAGAAAAATGAAAATCTCTTGAAGGAGGAAGTTTTAAAAATCACAGATGTCCTGCATTATTCAAGGTTTCACCTACCCATGTGCCGGTTGTTCAATATCTTTCTTATTTTACAACTGGAATTTTATTGCTATGGTAGGCATTATGCCTGCAGATAATCTGTGGCCCTATCCCACCACAAGGCCCTCCAAAACCCCAGCCCAAATTATGTACTATTTTAAATCATAAGCAAAAAAGTGCTAGTGCAGATAAGTTTATAGACTATAGATCTATTACTTTGAGGTAATAAAAGTCTTGGCAATAGAGGAGTTATTTGTTCTCTTCAGCCCTGTCTAGAAAGGCAGCATGGCCACCCTGGGTTAGCTCTTCAACACCCTCCCCCAGCTCTTCCATGATCATCCAGGGGATGGACTGGAGTACAATTCCCAACTCATGATTTCTGTGCATATCTGATATGGTTAAAGGAAAAAGACACAAGTGGGTCTGAGCATGGAAATATTGGAGATGAAGGAGGTTTGAAAGAGGAAAATGTTTGTGGTCCCAGCGAACAGTTGAAGGAGAGATATGTCTTAATTGGGTTAGGCTGCTATAACCAAAGATCTATAGACTTCATGGCTTGAACAATTTCTCACAGTTCTGGAGGCTGGGAAGTCCAAGATCAAGTGCCAGCAGGAAATGGTGAGAGCCTACGTCCTTATAGACAGCTACCATCTCACTTATCCTCACATGGCTGAGAGAGCTCATTGTAATGTCCTTCTTCTTATAGGGACACTAATCCCATCATGGGGATTCCACACTCATGACCTCATCTAACCTATTTACCTCCCACAGGACCCAACTCTTACTACCATCCCTTTTGGGGTTAGGGCTTGAATATATGAATTTTGGGAGGGACACAAACATGCAGTCCATAACAGGTAACTTGGTGGAGAAGAGCATAGAAAGATACAGGCTCCAATTATGAATTCCTATCCCTTTGTAACTCGGGATGGTATACTTGCAGAGAGCAGTCTGGAGCCTTTAATCTCACCTATTGCTGCCAGGAGGATAAAAGTCCAAATTCCTGAGCTTAGCATTCAAGGCTCTTAACTAGTTGGGCACAATTAATATGTCCTGTCTTATTTCCTTAGTTGTCATTTAGTTGCTTTTATGTTTGCATATAACCTAAATTCATTTCATATATAACTTTTCTTTATTAAATATGTAGCCTTAGATCTACTTAACTAAGCATATCAGGCTTCCCTCCAAAACAAAAAAGTTGAAAGATTTCCCTGTTCCCTCTGAAAGGTTTTTCTACCCCACCTCATCACCACCATCAATATTCACCTACTCACCGAACCACCTCAGGTAGAGGGAAGATTCAGAAACCTGACAAAATAAGTGAGATATATAAGAGATGAAAGATCAGATGAAAGAAAATATGAAAAGACAAATGAATCATTTTTTCTTCATGCCATCTCAAAGTTCCTTTTCAGCACATCTTGTCACTTTATATCTCTTACTAGCGGCCCTGTGCACAAATTCGTGCATGGGTGGGGTCTAGCCAGCCTGACCAATCAGGGCCAATCGGGCCAGGCCAGCCAAGGGGAGGGGCCATAGGCAGTTGGCCAGCCAGCCCTGCCCCCTGGTCAAATTTCCGGTCGAACTCCCAGTCGAGGGGACAATTTGCATATTAGCCTTTTATTATATAGGATTATGTTTAAAAACTGGTACCAAGGCCAAAGAAGAACACTATAAGTAAATAAAACTATAGACAATAGAACCCACTATTTATTACATATTTCTGGGGGCAGTTGGAAAGTTTTTATGTAAGGCTAACTTATAAAAATGAATGTGGTGTATTGGAAAGAGTAGTGTCAAAAACACCTGAACAGGTAAGGAGATTGATTTTATTCACACTATTGCAATAAGAAGATATCCCAGACTTAAAAATCAGTGTCTCAGCAGGATTGTTTTGTCTTACATTTTTATCAGGAGGAATAGACAAGTTACAGGTGGGGAGATTTACAGTGAGGCTGTTTTGCTGTTGGGGGACTTCTCAGTCAGCTATTTCAGTTTAGCTAATTTCATAAGGAAAACACTTTTTAAGCTCAGAATGGAGAGTTGGAGGGTCAGTGTCTAGTTCAGGCAAAAGGGGAAAGGTCTGTGCTTGACCTTGTCAAAGGAACCAGGGAGTCATCCAAAGTCTTATGGGTGCCACGAGGAAGTCTCTTCCAACTCACGTGGGGAAGGGTAGCATTTCCCAAAATACAAGATTCCCAGGGTTATCGTTACCCACTGCTGTATTTTGGGAGCACAGGGCTCAGATAAAGTTCAATCTGTCAGAGGAAATCTGTAGACTCAGTTCCAAGTCCTGGCTTTGCCACTAACTTCCATGAAGACCCAGCTCCCTCATCTCTAAAATGAGGGAGGGGGGATGATTTCTTAAACGTGTTTCCTACCCCAGTGTTTGATGAGTCTATGAGAATGGCTCTATGAGGGACTCTCGAAAAGAGGAGGTGACAAGTGAGGGCAGGGAGAGAGGTTGGAGGTCACAAAGAGAGGAGGGGCCAACAGAGAAGGGCTATGTCATAGAGAGGGGTGGGGAAATGTCAGTAGACACCTCAGGACTCCTGAGATTTTTAGGGTCAGAGAAGAGGCACCAGGGTCTTGACTGGGTCTGCTCCTTCCTCTCTGTCACCCTCAGCAGAGACAGTTCTCAGCTTTGATAAAGACTAGTTTGAAGACTACTCTTAAGATCCTTGCTTCTCCCCCCTAACCCCAAATTAATGTCCATCCCTCCCCCAGTTGTTCTTGACAGGGACACTTAGACTGAAGGTTGGGATCATTTCCAATTTGATTCAACTTGTCTGCTCCTGGTGAGATCGTGGCCCACCATGAAGTGCTGTCTCATCTTCACTCTCCTGAGTGTAGCTGGTGAGAGTTTGGACCCTTGTTGTAACCTTGAGGGGGATGGGGTGGTGTAGGGAAGTGTCAGAAAGGGGAGTAGCTAACCACACTGAAGAGATAGGAAGCTGAGGGCATTTCTTTCAATGAACTGTTGACGAAACAAAAGGAACCAACTCTCGTGCACAGCTCATCCCATCAATGCTCTCCCCAAGCCCTCTGAGGCCTGGAAGCATGTTAGGACATGTCACTAATAAGTGCTCTAGTCTTGAGTGTGTAATTTCCTAGATTGCCACGTTTCCTGGACAACCACATGAAAAGCATGTCTTCCCTTTATGTGGGCAGATGGACTTGAGAAGAGTGAGCACAGGAAATCAAGGTGAACTGGTCAGGGGCTCTGGAAGCCTCATGGCCCTACCCCAAGTTTTTCCATTCCTTTCACCTGCAAAGTCAGGGAATATTTCATTTTTTACTTCAATGCTTGGCAAAGACATGTGTCAGTTTCTTTAACAAACATAACTTAAGTGACATGGTTGATTCTCCCTGATTTAAGACATATATATTTAATATAATTTGAAGACCTTGATTTTATCTTTGAAAAATCTTAGGCTGGGAAACATTACCCTATCCCACTGGTCGACAAACTGTGGTTCACGAGCCACATGCGGCTCTTTGGTCCCTTGAGTGTGGCTCTTCCACAAAATACCAACTTCTGCACATGGGCCATGAAGTTTCAATTGCACTGTATGTGTGTGCCCGCACGTGGTATTTTGTGGAAGAGCCACTCCCAAGAGGCCAAAGAGCCTGTGGCTCCCGAGCTGCAGTTTGCCGACCACTGCCCTAGCCAATCCTCACTTCTCAACCTCTTTGTCTCTCTTTCTCCATCAATTACTTAGGAATTATTCTGGCCAAATATTCTGAAACTGAAAAGTCAAACTTATCAGAAGATTTTACTATTCCCTACATGGTCTATCTGAAGTCCAGTCCAGAGCCCTGTGTGGGGTCTCTCATTCACCCGGAGTGGGTCCTGACCGCCGCTCACTGCCCCTTACCGTAAGTAACCTTTTGTTCTTGGAAACCAGGAGAGAGATATTTAAACAAAAGTAGGTCTGATGAGGCATTCCAGCCAGTTTTAATGGCATCCTGGGGAATTCAGAGGAACCCAGAAAGAGGAAAGATCTTCTTCCCAATGGGGAAAATCATACACATTTATCATTTTAAGAGGAGGTCGATAGGAAGGTGTCAAAAGACTCTTTCCCATGGAGAACAAATAATATGCTTTCATTCAATGTATTTATTTAACATTTACCATATGCCTGGGACTGCTTAATGCACTGAGAAAACTGGAAGGGAATAAGATGGAAATAAATTTTGTCTCATAGATCTTACATTCTGGTAGAGGAAGTAAGCCAAAATAAATAAATGGCCAAAAAGAAAACATAAAAAGGGTGGCAAGCTGTAATAAGCAAGAATGCTTTAGTTAGGTGGTCATGTGAGGCATCTTTGAAGAGATGAGACCCACAGGATGAAGAGGAGGCAGCCAAGTAAATAAAGGCTGGGGAGTAGAGTGTCTGATGTAGTAAAGGTATCTGAGAGACCAGTTGTTAGCTGAGTGTAATGAGGACAGGGGATGTTCAAAAAATGAGGGTAAAGTATTCAGCAGGCCATGTGATACAGGAGAAGGGCAAGAGTGCGCTGCACAATATAACGCTATTCCTTATAATCTCAGAGTCTCTGTTGTAATTTGGTCAGAATGTGTTGTGTTCTTGGGATCTATTCAGAGTTTCATGGGTATACCAGGGTCATTTCAAACTCAGAATTCTCAGTGACCTGGTTATTTAAGACAATCCATTAGAAAACAGATTGAACCCTTGATCTGAACTTTATAAGAAATACAAAGGAAATAAAGACAGTTCATCTCCTTTAAGAACTGGAGTTGGAAATGCTGATATTTTTTTCTCAGCCATATCTAATGCATGAAGTGTCCTTAGTAGGGAATGGCTCTTCTATCTGGTGCATGACTGGATTTCTGGCATTGCAAGAGAGTGGTTTTGAATTAGTCCAGGGAGTACAATGGAAAATGATAAATGGGAGTCCTAATAGCCTACTAAGAGTCTTGTGACTCTATGATCAATGTAGGTGGCACATGGTAAATATAATATCTGTGAGAGGAGCTTGGGAGGAGCCTAAGAATATCTAGAAACAAACGATACAATATGCTTGCTCAAGAGTTGCTTGAGACAGATGGACTGTGGTGCCAACTCTGGTACCTGATCATTCAGATGATCCAAATCATTCATCATCATCATCATCATCATCATCATCATCATCACAACAACTAGATTGTACAGGCATGGTCTAGGTGGCAGATACCATGCCAGATACCAAGCATTTATTATATACATTGACTCTAAAACGACAATCCTATAGACTATTGTTATCACTATTTTACAGACCAAAGCAGGTCACTTCAGTTCTCAGGTCTAAGAGGTAAAATATTGATGATTATAGAAAGTCACCTCTGACATTTCTTGCAGTTCTGATATTCTGTGACCCTGTTCTTTTCCACCTCTCTGCCCTCTTTTTTTCCAAAGAGTTAAACTTCGATTGGGAGTTCATCAACCCAGCGTCAAACATAAGAAAGAGCAGATACGGAATAACACATTGACCATACCCTACCCCGAATTCAATGCACAAACTTTGGAAAATGACCTGATGATGATAAAACTGTCCAAGGCTGCTGTGCTCAACACCTATGTGGGAACTATAGCCATAGCTTTGGAATCTTTATCAACTAATGATTCCTGCTTTATCCCAACCTGGAGTTGGAATGACTATAAAAACTGTAAGTGTTTGACTGTGTTCTTTGAGCTGGGGAAACATAGAGGGATATACTTAAAGGAAACAGGGCCTATGAGGTAATGGTCTCGATCTTAGAGAGATTGCTTTCAGGATCTAATAATACCAAGATTAGCGGCCAAAAGATAAAAATCAAAGAGACTGATAGAGGGCAGCCAATGAGACATCAACAAATGAAGCAGGCAGTTATTACTCCATCTGTAGAACCAAGATTCCAGGAACTGAATTTAAACAAAGGTGGGTTAATATATTACTCTAAAGACAATATCAAGGCACGTTGTAGGAGGGTGGCTTGCTGTCTCATGGACAGCTACTGAAAGTCCACCAAGCAATTAATGAGACAGCAGTGGGAAAACCATAACAAAACGTGTGCTATAGGAAGGCAACCGAGGCTGTTTCCCACACGCAACCATGGACAACCAACCTATCTTGATGGTGATTCACTCAAGTGAACCTGAAGAGGTAAGTAGTGGTTGAGAGAACCCTCTCCTCTGTCACCGGAGCTGTTTCAGTGAAGAGAGTACTACTCTTAGACCTACTGCTCCATCTAATAGTTCCCACGTAGGGGTGGAGACTAGGAGGGTGCATAGGAGTTCATTATTATGACATGCTCTGGGGGTGTATCTGAGTGTCTCTCTGGCCTGGCACGCATTGGAAAAATTGCCACAACCCAGGCACACATCCCTCTCCCCTCTGAGATCTACAGGATCACATCTTATCAAGGGCATTTTATGAAGAAAGTTGCTTTCTTACACATTTGTTGGTCCTTGGTGGTTTTTACTTCATATGGCTGCTAATAACCATTCTGTTCTCTTTAAGTATTGTCAAGGGATAGTGGAATCAATATTCAATATCTAAAATGAAATGATAAAGCTAAATTTATGGCTTATTATAGTTAGGAAGAGCAATGCTGAGCAGGCACAATCTTGCTGAGCAGATCAGAGTACTGGGCTTTTGGTGGGGGGGGGGGTGGGGTGGTTGGAAGCTTTCTGGACAGGGATTGGAAGACTTTCAGAGGCTAAAGAGAGTTAACATCATCTGTAGTGGCATGGATACTTGAGTGAGGTTGTTGATTGGTTGGCACTCTGAGGCATGTCTTTTGGAGGGGGCTCTAATTGGCTGACTTTAAAAATGACACTGATTGATTAGCTTGCCAAAGCTGTGTCCACTGAGGCAAATTGTCATGGATATTAATCAGGTTTAAACCCCACTGGTGGCTACAGAACAATCCATCTGTTCTGTAAAAACAAAAAGTGAGAACTTTAAAAATCATTCTGTTTTGTAAAAACAAATAAAAGTAGGAACTTTTATATTTATCATATTTGACATCTTCATTTTTAATTTAGAAGCAACATTCCTGGGAATCTAAGTAAATACATTTTCTGAACAAATTAAAAATTTATGATTTTTATCTTTGACTTTATAAGTCTTATCCAAAGTAATTACATCACATTTTACAAAAGCAATTTATTACATACCATTTGAAAACAAAATAAAACTATATGAAGGTTTTATCACATAGACTCTGCAGGTCAGGAACACAATGACAAACTAATTCTATGAGCTCTCTGGTGCAAGGCTCCCAATAACTATTCATTGTTTCAAGTAACAAGATTACTTTCATCTCGTTTGTTCTATGTATTGCAATTCAATTCCCATTAAAATTTAAAACTGAACATAACTTCTCTCTCTTCTGACCCAACACTTTTCTGGTCTAATACTTTAGGACATTATATTGAATACACTCCATGAGAAAAATCCTGCTCTATAAATAACACTAGGCTTAGCTTGAACAATGTTTGGTCAATTTTTGTTTTCTCCTTGCTATTCACTACCAAAGATTAAAATTATATAATATCTTGGTTAGAGTCCTTGCATCCTCTGTTTGGCAGGATAGTAACAATTGCTGTAGTAGTGATATAGTAGGAGAATAATATAACTACTTAGGGGAAAATATATGTGTATATTTTACACATATACACACATACATATAAATAATCCATTTATAAATAAGCATTTAAAAATGGTTTTAAACATATTAAAAATAGTTTTCTCCCTTTATGACTAAATTTAAAGATGATGAAGTAGGTGCCAAAAAGCAAGTTTTCTTGGAGACAGTTTTTGTGTTCATTTCTTCTCATGATTACATAGTTTTCTCATGAGTTTTCAAGGGTTTCTAATGTATGCATAGTAGAGAGAGAACCACAGACCTGATGTCTGATGTAAGGAGGACTTAATGCTCTGAATCCACTGCTCTAACACAGAGGCATGAACAAGGAATGCTGAGAAGGATGGAATGTTCACTACTGGCAATGAATATTCTCAGGGATCAATGCATTTACAAAACTGGGGATGATCACAAGAGTATATGTAATAAGGACAGTAACACTGGACTTGATTTCTCTTCTCTTTCCCTCAGCGAGTGACCCTGACATCTTAATTTGGACAAATCAACATTCTCTTCCCTTCCATAAGTGTAACTTTATGCTAGGTGACAGAATAACAGTCAACATCATGTGTGTGGGACAACCTCTGGAAACCATATCTGAAATTAAGGTATTTTTCCTTTCTCCAGGCAGGAAGATAGCAAGGGGTCTGTGATGAGGAGAGATGATTGTGAGAAAGTAAATGGTACTCATCCAAAAGGCCTGAAGTCTCCTCCTCACACACACACAGTTTCTGGGTTTGTCATGAGTCCCCCTTCCCATCCTTTAGAGTAGAAGAGATTCTGGGAAGAACCATTTGTCCTTTCTTCACCTGCTTGCTCTCAGGTTGGGCCAAACTTGACCCAACAGAGGTGAGACCTATGTGGATATTAAGAGAGGGTTGTTACTTCTCAAGAAAAATGAGTCCATTCCCTTAAATGTCCCTGCTACCATAATGTGCAACTTTTTGGGATTTATTCTTGTTCCATGAGGACTAAGCAACATTGACCTCCTATTCCCTCTCACTGGCAGGAAGTTTCAGCTGCTCCAGCCATCTGCAATGGGAGATTGCATGGAATCTTGTCCTGGGCAAAAGGAAGTGTCACTATGGGAAGTGAAGGATTTTTCACTGAAATTCATCCCTATGCAAGATGGATCCTAAAAATCATAAACAGCTACTGAGGCTCCTCTGTTCCTCCATCCCCTCAATGCAACATCTTCATGACTTCTACACTGGATCCCCAACTCCTTTGAGCTTTCTTATTCTTGAACAAAATCCAAATAAAAAGCATCCAATTAAAAAATGACATTAAGAACTCATGCTGTGATCCCTGACCTCTATACAATACAACTGTGGATATATTGACTGTGAGTAGAAAAAAGAAGGAAGTGTCTGGGATAACACCCAAATTTCTGACTTGGGCAACTGGGTAGGTGGTGCTTCTCAAAGATAATATAAATAGAACCAATGCTTTCATGTATAAAAGATCAGGAGCATGGACATGAATTAGGAGAAATGAGGCATGTTATTTTTGCACCCTTGTAGGACATGCAGACCATCATTTCTAACAGACAGCTGGAGACAAAGCTCTGGATCTCAAATGACATCTTGGTAGTGAAAGCTAGGGAGACCTATATTTATGGGTAACAGCTGCATACTTTGGTAGAGTTTTGTGCTATTATGAAGAGTTACAATTGGTGCTTAGTCCCCTCGTAGTGGCATATAGTGGGGAGATGTACAGCATCCAAGACCCATTGACCAAGATACCTAAAAAATACAGAATTGAGAGGATTCCAAGTAACACAAAAGTTGGGATTCAGAGTACTTTATGAGAGGCCATGGAGTTACATGTTGGGGGAGGGGGCAATGTGACATGGGCAAAGAGAATCAGAGAGGGTCAGTGAGATGGGGGTAGAGAGAATCATGCCATTGGAGAAAGATACTCTGTAAAGAATGAAAAGGTTTAGAGAGCCATCTTATGAGGGAGACAGTGAATCTGTGTGACAGTAGGGATTGCAGTGGTAGGTTAGTTCTTGGACATTGATATACTCTGAGCCTGGATACTTTTTATCCCCTACCAAAGTGTTCCCCCAAATAAATCTGCGTTCTAAGACCCACAGCTTTATCCTCTCACATACACAAAAATTATCTCAAATTTGGACACTAGTCAATTTCATTCAACTTTGTTTCTTTATCTTATTTGTTTCTTTATCTTATAATCCTTCTCTAGCAGCCTCATTTCTAGTTGCTCTATCTTCCTGCTTCTGATTCACTGCCCAACACTTCCTGCTCTGATCACTTTTTATAACTCTGAAATTATGTCTTCAATGCTTATTGGCAATCCTGTATTTTCCCAGTCCATTGTCTGTGTAATTCTCCATGATGGTCATCCTCCTTTCTCCTCTAGCCTCAATTCTCACCTTCAGCAGATGACCTCTGGGAGTAGAGGGCTGGAAAAACCATCAAAAGATACCTCATGCCACTTCCCACCATCCAACCTGCAAACTGTGTTTTTTTCTTATTCATTTCCCACCCCCACCCCCCATCCTTCCTGGAAGTGAGGCTCACTATTTTTAGCTTCCTTCTCCACCTTTGATAACTGACTTCCGCATGGAATTGCTTTATTGATTATTTCTCCTTTACCTCATTTTACAACTCCCTCAATCTATTGACTTCTTCGGTTGCCATTTAAGCAAGATAAAGCCTCACCCATCTAAATTAAAGAGCCCAAGGACATTCTCCCTTGATCTACTCCCTCATTGCCTCCTCTGTCTTCTTCACAGGAAGTTCTTGACAATTACTGAAAGTTATATTTTGTAAAATTCTTCTCTATCTCTATTCATACTCTTCTATGTAATTTGCTCTCTTTTGAGCCCTGGTTCATCTTCCCAGAGATTTCTTCCACTATGTCTTCCTTTGGTTAAATTCTACTCATCTTCAAGCCTCAAGCATCACTTCCTCAAGGAGGTTTTCTTCTTAAACCTATATGGGAAAACTTCTATGTGTTTCTCTCTCTTTCTTTACTTTCCTCATTGTGACAATCACAGTGGCAAGTCTTATTACACCTGTTTTCCCTATTAGTCTTTATAATCTATGAGAATACAATTCTCATCTCTCTCAACATTAAACCATCAATATCTAATAAAATACCAGCACATAATATCCATATGTATGAGTTTTCTATTGCTGCATAAAAGCCTTACCACAAATTGAACAGCTCAAAATATTATCTCACAGTTTCTGTAAGTCAGAAGTCCAGGTAAACCTTACCTGGGTCTTTTCTTTAGGTCTAGGAAGGTTCCAGGGAAGAATTTGTTTCTAAGCTTATTCAAGTGGTTGGCAAAATCCATTCCTTATGGTCCTCTGACACAGAACCTTCGCTTTTTACTAACTATCAACTGAATGCTGCCCTCAAGTCCTTAAGATTGTCCTTAGTACAAAGAGGCCACCCACCCATAGTTCTTTGCCAAGTGGGCTTTCTCAGCATGGCTGCTTGTTTCAAGCCAGTGGGAAGAATCTCTCTTATGCATACTAGCAAGGTGGAGGCATATATATAAGCATAATCATGGGGATGACATCAACTAATTTTTGTCATATTCTATTTGTTAGAAGCAAGTAACAGGTACCACCCACACTCAAGGGAAGGCAATTGAGGATTATGCAGGGCATAAACATGGGCCTTTGGGTCTGTCTTCCACAATATTCAATAGAATTTTGTTAAATAATGAATGTATTGGCTCCGTATCTTCTACACAGTAAAGACTTCTGACATCTTAAATATGCAAGGCTTATTTAATAAGGCTTTTCGGAATTGAATTCCTGCTTGTCTCTCCATCCAGCTCTTCATACTCCCCCTATAACACTCATAGTTCCACGAACACTCTATGTTATTTCACATGTTCATGCTTTTACAGAAGCCTTTCTTCTTTTTGAATTATTTTTCTCTTCTTTTTATGCCAGACAAGTTCCTTCCCTGTCTCTAAGCCCCAAGTGTAACTCTCGGTATTGCTTTCTTACACACATTGCAGGTTAAAGAGGTGTCCTTAGCACTGTGCTCCAAGGCATTTACTTCCATTTAAAAACATGTCTCCAAAATTTTACTATGAAAAATGTTAAATATACAGCAAAGCTGAAAGAATTTTACAGTTTTTACCTATATACCCACCAGCTGAATTCCACCATTGAGAAACCCTATTGTTATTAACATCTTGCTTTGATTCAAAATAACTGATGAACCAATATTGATTTATTATTATTATTAACTAAAGTCCACAGTTTATACATTAGGGTTTGCACTTTATTTTATACAGTAGAGGCCCAATGTATGAAATTCGTGCAAGAGTAGGCCTTCCTGCCCTCCACTGCCAGCAGGCACCTGGGACCCGGGCTTCCCATGCAGCCCCGGCTTTGTCCAGAAGGACGTCCAGTCAAATTAGCATATTACACTTTTATTATTATAGATTGCTATGGGTTTTGACAAAAGCACAGTGTCATGTATCCACAATTAGAGCACCATACAGAATAATTTTACTGCCCTAAAAATTCCCTGTGCTCCACCTGTTCATCCCTTTCCCTTTCTCCTCAAACTCAGTCAACCACTGATATTTTTACTGTCTCTATAGTTTGCCTTTTCCAAAATGTCATAAATTGGAATCACACAAGCTATATTTTTAGGCTGGATTCTATCACTTAGTAGTATGCATTTATGTCTTTCATCACTTGACAGCTCATTTTTTAAGAATCACCAAATAAATATTCCATTGTATGAACTGTATGAATGTACCACACTTTGTTCATTCACATATTTAAGGAATTCTTGGTAGCTTCCAAGGTTTGAAACTGCCAAACTAATTCCTAAAGTGGCTGCACCATTTGCATTCCCCCAGCAATGAATGAAAGTTCCTTTTGCTCTACATTCTCACCAACATTTGGTATTTTTGGTATTTTGCCATTCTGTGAGGTATGTAGTAGTATCTCATTATTGTTTTAATTTGGAATTCCCTAATGACATGTTGAGAATATTTTCATATGCTATGTGCTATCTGTGTATCTTCTTTGTTGTTATGGACTGAATTGTGTCATCCCAAAATGTACTGTTGAAGTCCCAAACCCAAGTATGACTGTATTAGGAGATAGGGGCTACAGGAATTAATTAAAGTGAAATGAGGTCATAAGGGAGTGGGCACTAATCTGATAGGATTAGTGTCCTTATAAAACTAAACAACCAGAGACATGGCTCAGAATTTCTCCCTCTGTGCATTCATGCAGAGGAAAGGCAACAGTGAAAAGACTCCTGTACACAAGCCAAAAAGCGAGCTCTCACCAGACATTGAACTTGCGCAACTTAATCATGGACTTCTAGTCTCCAGAGCTGTGAGAAAATAAAGGTCTGTTGCTCAAGTCACACAGTCTGTGGTATTTTGTTATGGCAGCCTGAGCAGACATTTGGTAAGGTGTTTGTTCAAATATTTGACCCCCTTTTTTAATCGGGCTGTTTGTTTCCTTATTGTTGAGTTTTAAGATTTGCTTATACATTTGACATGAATGATTTAACAGATAGGTGTTTTGCAAATTTTCCCACCTAGACAGTGGTATAGTAGATTTTTAGCTCTGAATACATTGTTTTGTAATTGCCTTTTAATGTCCCTATCATTCCACTAGCCTAAAAGCTCTTTGAAGGCAGAAAGTGTCTTCACATTTAGGCAAATTCAACAGTAAGCACAGAGCCTAGCACAAGTCAGATGCATAATATAAATTATGGGCTGGCTGGTTGAATAAATAAACGGGTGAGTAGTGACATGAAGGAAAGGGCTGATATACCTGAGGAGGTATTTAATGTCAGGCAGAGGGGTTGAGGTCAGCACAAAGTGCTGGGTTATAGCCACTGGAGATGAATGTCAACGGCACACAAACAGGGGCTAGCATCACATAGATGGGTGGGGCCAGGATCCTGCATGTAGTTCAGAGAGGGATATGATTTCAGAGTTTGACAAAGGAAGGACCAGAGAGGAGGAGGCTATGGACACACTGTAAGCTTCAACATCTCTCAGATTAGGTGCTTTTTAATATGATGGAGAACAAAACGCTGATCTATTCTCTACACCTGTTCTCTGTTCTTCTCCTCTGACACTTGATACCACCACTTACTCTGACTGATAAGCACTTCTTCTGGAACTGAATCCTGCCATTGAAAGAATTAAGATGATAATTTTTCCCAACCCTCTCTTGCCTTATCTTATTTAGTCCTTTACTCTCTCTCTTCTCTTCATCTTTTCCAGAGACTCTGAGTTGAACTTCATCCTCTGAAAAGATTTTTGACATCATTATGAAGTTTATCCTCTTCTGGGTGATCTTGAATCTTCCTCGTGAGTGTTGGCACCTTTTTCTTTACTTACCAAATATTAAGTCCTGGGGGAGCATGAAAGGTGGATAAAGATAGGAATAACACTTCAGACTACAAGTGTAGGCTTGATTCCCTCTCCCTCACTGCTGCCACCATCCTCACCAGGTTTCCTCCTGTGACATTGCCTGTCTGCCTCATCGCAGGTTGACTGTTACATACTTTTGGGGGAGGCATGGAGATTGGAACGCCAATACCAGAACTGCTCCTAAGGAACAGTGAGAGCTGACCCTGAACCTGTCTAGAACAGGATTGATTTTGGTATGAGGTCTTGTTGGGGTATGGTTCCAATATTCAGGCAAAAACCCTGGAGGTAATCATAAATCCTCTTTCTCTCACATGCCACATTCAATCTGTTTGGAAAATTTTGTTGACTACATCTTCTAAACAAATCTGAATCCAATAATATCTTATCACCTCCACTGCTCACCATGGGCCAAGCCACCATCTCTTGCTTGGATCATCAGATGATTCTCCTAATAGGCCTCTCTGCTTTATACTCCTACACTCAACACTTCTCCATAAGGAAACTATCATCACTCATTCATCACACATCACACATCCCATTTCACTCAGAAACAAGTCCACATCCTATAAAGCTCTGCATCACTTCTTTGTCCTCTCTTGTTTCCTGCTCTTGTCCCCCTCACTCACCATGCCAGCCACATTGGCCTCTGTTGTTGCTCCTTAAACGGGCATTAGGACTCTTCTCCAGCTGTTTCCTCTGCCTGAATCCTGTTCCCCAAATATCTGATTATCTCCCTCCCCCAGCTTCATTTTACTGTTCATCCCTCATGTCCATAAGATTTACCCTGACTACTGATGTAATACTGCACAGTGCCTCCAACACACACACACACACACACACACACACACACACACACACACACACACACCTGCTATTTCCTTCCCCTCTTTCCTTGTTCTACTTTTGTTCCAAAGCACTAATCACCATCTAACATACTGTCTCATTTATTGTGTATTATGTTTGTTATTACTGAATGTCTCCACTCATTAGAATGTATAAGAGCAGAGATATTTCTCTGTATTTTTCACTATATAGCCCAAGCACTTCGAACAGCCCGGTTTTCTTTTTGAATGAATGGGTGATTTCCCCTCCTTAGACTCTGTTAGTATTTGGTCTGTTCTTTAAATGGCTCATATCATTTTTCCTTATATTGCTGTTGGGAGGACGGGATGAGATTGGTTAAAGCATTCTAAAACGGATAAAAATAGTGAAGTTCTTTAAGCGTTAATTTAACATATGTCCACTAAATTGTGGAAGGTATTTGAGAAAGCCTGTGTTTTCATTGGAACAATATGTACTGATGACTGAAAGGGAAAACACCTTTTATCTTTTGAAATAAATATGTTTCTATCATCTATAATAATAAAAGCATAATATGCAAATTGACTGAACGACCGAACAGCAGAACGACTGTCCAGATGATCTTCCAGACGATCACGCTATGACACGCACTGGTGCCAGGCCAGCCAAGGCGGGTGCTATGTGATTGGTTGGGGGGGGGCTGCCATCACCCCATGATTGCCCCACAGAGGGAGGCCCAGGCCACTGGCCAACAACGTTGTGGCAGGTGTGCGGGACCAGCCAGCGATCGCCCCACAGAGGGAGGCCAAAGCCAGCCAAGCAATTGCACCCCACACCTGTCGCCCGCAGTGGGAGGCAACTGGTAGCAGGGGATGGGGAGGGGGCAGCACCATACAAATGGCAAACAGTGGCAGTGGCGGGGCCAGCTGCTGGAAGCCGGCAGCTGGGGGAAAGAAAGCCCCGATAGGCCCTGATCACCAGCCAGGCCTAGGGACCCTACCCAAGGGTCCCAGATTGCAAGAGGGTGCAGGCCGGGCTGAGGGGCATCCCCCCTCCCCCTGCACAAATTTCATGCACCAGGCCTCTAGTTTTCTTAATATTCTACAACAAAGTAAGCCAGATTACAAATTCAGCTTACAGTTGAAGATACTGGAGAGAAGGATAGGGAAATTTGGGTCTATTAAGGAATTTTCCTTTGTTTTTTCAAGTGATCTCTGAAAAAAAATCTTAGAATTTCCTGTCTATGCTTCTCTTTTACAGGTGCTTTGGCCTATGACCCAGATTACATACATGACATCACTCCCCCCTATTTGGTCTATTTGAAATCTGATTACTTGCCCTGCACTGGAGTCCTGATCCACCCCCTGTGGGTGATTACAGCTTCAAGCTGCAACTTACTGTGAGTAATAAGCCCCCAATGACCCTCTATTCTTGGTATGCTCAGGTTGGGAACAGGACCCTGCCTGGGTCTGATTAATTAAATGGGATTTAGGGAGGCCTTCTGGGGATGTTCAGTAATAGAGAAATAAGTCTGTGAGGAGGAGCTAATAAAGGGCCAGAAGGATGGATAAGCCATCTCTGTTAAGTCCTCTCAAGAACACCCATATTGTTCCAGGAATCTCAAGGTGGTATTGGGGGTTACAAACCCATCAAGCCTCACTGAACAAGATGTACAAGTGGTTGGCTATTCGAAGATGATTAATCATCCGTACTTTTCAATCACTTCTATTGAGAATAACCTAATGTTGATCAAGTTGGAAAGATACATTGAAGTCAATGACTACGTGAAACTGGTCAGCTTGCCCAAAGAACCTCCCAGCGAAAACACCATGTGCATGGTCTCCACCTGGGCTTACAACACATGTGACATCTGTGAGTGACCCTAAGATCATCTCTCAGGATCAGACATGCTTCTATCTCTTCTCTACTCTTGGCTTCTATGATTTTCCCAGTTCTTTCTTTTAAACTCTTCATTCCTCTGTTTTGTCTCCTTTACCCTCTCCCTATACCTCACTTAGGGAGTCCTTCAAGCCTTTTCCTCCATTGTATCTTTCTATCATCTTTGCTTTCATATAAAATAGAAGTGGTGTTGGTAGAAAGAAGACATTTGTATTCTGGTCCTATTTTGCTGTGTGATAATGGGCCACTTTCCCATGGACCCTCAATTTTCTTAACTCTAAAATGTGGCACAACCTATATTAGATGTTTTCAACTATTCCAGGCAATCAAGAAAATTATCTTTAAATATCATGAAATAATACTTATGTATTAAACATAAAGTGCATACATGATATTTTGCTTAATCAGGCAGACCTTCCTTATGCAAGATTGTGATAGACATAAATAATGAAAAGTTTAAGAAAAATATTTCTGAAACATTTTGAACTGGTGATATTCTGAACATTCTCTCATGTATTCAGCAAATTAAAAAGTGACTCTCATGAGTTTATCAGTAAAAGTCTCTATATGTAATTTGAAGCCACCGAACTACGTGTTCTAACTCAACTTTCTTCTATGTCACATTTTTCAGATTCCATAAAAAAAAACACACACACAACTTTGAGTATGTTAATACAGCTTTCTCTTGTCTAAGTTTTGTGCCTGTCTACTGCCTATCCCATTCCAAAATTTTCATGCAAATTCTATCAACTGTTCATAGCTATGAATCAAGGTAGTGAATACTGGGGAAGGGGGGAAACTGATTAAGTATAAGGAAAACAGAACTATGATATTGTCCCTTAGGAAAAACTATTGATTGAATTTTACTCATGAGTAACTTGAGTATGTTTAATATTCACCAGACACTAGACACCATAGTATGGAAGGAGAGTCATTTTTAACAAGCCTGTCAGATTACTTTCATCTGCCCACTGCTAGTTTTTTTTCTAGAAGCAAGAGGTGGCTATACACTTATCCTAGTAATCCTGACATCACTGCAGCCTTTTTTAACTGCTCTTCAGTCAATACCTTCACACTTTGGGCTACATTTTCTTGAATATATTAAAAAGTAGAAATTCTTATTTCCCCAGCTTTATTAAGGCATAATTGACAGATAAACACCACATATATTGAAGGTATATAATACCATGTTTTGATATATATATACATTGTGAAGTGATGCCCCAATCAAGCTACTATGCATCACCTCATATATTTATTTACTCTCTCTCTCTCTCTCTCTCTCTCTCTCTCTTTCTCTCTCTCTCTCTCTCTCTTTTTCTGTGTGTGTGTGTGTGTGTGTGTGTGTGTGTGTTGAGAGTATTTAATATCTATGCTCTTAGACAATTTCAAATACACAAAAATATAATATTATATACTACGGTCACCATGCTGTGCATTAAATCCCCAGAACTTCTTCATCTTATAACTGAAAGTTTATACCCTTTGGTCAACATACCTCCATATGCCCCACCTCGAGCCTCAGCAACTGCCATTCTAGTCTGTTTCCATGAGTTCAGCTGGTTTAGATTCCACACTTAGGGAAGATCATACAGTATTTGGATTTCTGTGTCTAGCTTATTTCACTTATTATAATGTTCTCTAGACAAATAGAAATTCTTTGTCCTTTGAGAGTCAATTTGAGTTTTGGAAATAGGCAAACGTCCATGTGGTAAGCAGTAGGTCTGATTCATTTTGGTTGCCAAAGAGCAGTGACTTACAAAAAACAGTGCGGTTTATTTTTATCTGGCTCGTGAAGCAGTGAAGTAAGCATTTTTTAAAAAATTCTTCCCCATTTATGCAAATATGCTGTATACCTTGAAGCTAATACAAAATAATATTTATTGTCAACTGCAATTAAAAATATTCTTTAAATTTTTAAAAAATGCATTCCCAGAAGAAATGCTGAGCCATGCCATTATTGCTGGACTGGAAAATAAAACAAAAACCTCAAACATTTTCTTTTCAAGAATGAATATACCATTTCCAAATAAAGGAATTCAAATAAACACAATCCCATTAGAAAAACAAAATGTCAAAATAAACTACTTTTCCCAATGAAAACTCCTTGGTAAGAATACCTAACATAAATATTAATATTATTTTGTTCTTGTTTATCTCGTTTTGCTGCACTGAAAATAGCCCCATAAAAACTTTGTCATGAGTCTGCACAGTCCATAGTATTTGTGAACCATTGATATAAAAGAAATAACTTGAATTAGAAATCAAGAGACCCACTTTTAAGTTCTTTTAAGACACACTTTTAAGTTCTCATGTTATGGGTTTAAGAAAATCACTTTTTGAGTTAATTTTGTGAACATATACTGGATTTTTTTATCTGACAAATGAAAAACTAAGCATAGAGCTCTCTAAATTCCTTTAAGCTCAAAATAGACATATAGTTTAAGGGTACAAAGTTGCAATTAGTAGATAAATAAGTCCTGGAAATGACTATAAACAACAATACTGTATTATAACCCAACTTGCTAAGAGACTAGATCTTAATTATTCCCACTACAAAAAAAAAAAAATTATAATTACGTGACGTGATACTGAGTCTAACTATTGCTACAATGGCAATCATATTACACTACATAACCGTATCAAATCAACATGTACACCTTAAATGTGCACAACATTGCAAGTCAAATATATTTTAATAAATTAAAAAGGAGTCAGTGATAAATGTAAAATATGGGACGAAGAAAAAATATGAAAGCTAAATAAATAAATAAAACTTAATTTCACAGGACACTCTTTAAATCTTTAATTTTCCAGAAAAATTTTAAAGTAATTTGTTTCATTTCGTTGCAGAAATCAACTTCCAAGAGTTTATTCTATTTTGTAAGGAGATAGACAGTTGTACCATGAGAAATAGTTAATCTGATACTTTCCTGTTGTCCTAGCTGCCTCAGTTCTGATTTCTCTCAGTATTTGGCCTCTCTCTCTTTCTGCTGGGAGAAGAGGAAATATGTTGAAGAGGAGGGAAAGAAGAGAAGGTTTCATATCTGAGGACGTTTTACTTCTCTTTCCTATAGCCAAGGACCCTGACTCATTGCAGAATGTGAACATCTCTGTTATCTCCAAGACTAATTGCCGCAATGCTTATAAAAGCTATGACATCACAAAAAGTATGCTGTGCTTGGGCATTGTGCCAGGAAGAAGGCGGCCCTGCAAGGTAAGCTACTCTCAATACCTTCCTGTTCCCATTTTGTTCCCGTGCCTTTTGCCAGAAAGATAACCCAGTTTCCTTTTTCCTGGCAGGAAGTCACAGCTGCCCCAGCAGTCTGCAATGGGATACTTCAAGGAATCCTCACTTTTACTGATGGATGTGTTTTGAGAGCTGATGTTGGCATCTATACCAGAATCTTTAACTACATACCCTGGATTGAAAATACAATCCGAAACAACTGAGCTCCCTCAGCAGGAATTCTGGACCATTTGACACAGCCTGTAGCCATGTCCAGCCTCACAAGCAAATCTAAATAGACTCCTTGGGTTCCATCCTGCATACCTGTCTCATTTCTATCCAACAGAGGTGACTTGTACATACCTGTACTGTGATTATATGCAACAATCCTTCTACTTCCCCTTTCTTTTTTTTTTTCTTTTTTTTTTTTTATTATTAGTTAAGGTATTACAAATGTGTCCTCATCCCCCCCATTAACCCCCAACCTCCCCCCCACACACAAACTCATGCTCCCATCCCCCTGTTGTCCATGTCCATTGGTTTGGCTTATATACATGTATACAAGTCCTTCGGTTGATCTCTTCCCCTTACCCCCGCCCTCCCCTACTTTCCTTCTGGGGATTGATAGCCTGATTGCTGTTTCTCAGTCTTTGAGTCTGTCCCTTTTCATCAGTCTATGTTGTTCTCTATAATCCACAAATGAGTGAGATCATGTGGTATTTATCTTTCTCTGACTGGCTTATTTCACTTAGCATAATGCTCTCCAGTTCCATCCATGCTGTTGCAAAAGGCAAGAGTTCCTTTTTTTTTTACCGCAGCATAGTATTCCATTGTGTATATGTACCACAGTTTTCTAATCCACTCATCTGCTGATGGGCACTTAGGCTGTTTCCAAATCTTAGCTATGGTGAATTGTGCTGCTATGAACATAGGGGTGCATATATCCTTTCTGATTGGCGTTTCTGGTTTCTTGGGATATATTCCTAGTAGTGGGATCACTGGGTCAAATGGGAGTTCCATTTTTAGTCTTCTGAGGTAGCGCCATACTGTTCTCCACAGTGGCTGCACCAGTCTGCATTCCCACCAGCAGTGCAGAAGGGTTCCTTTTTCTCCACATCCTCTCCAACACTTGTTGTTTGTTGATTTGTTGATGATAGCCATTCTGACAGGTGTGAGATGATAACGCATTGTCGTTTTGATTTGCATCTCTCGTATAATTAGTGACTTTGAGCAGGTTTTCATATGTCTTTCGGCCTTCTGTATGTCCTCTTTCGAAAAGTGTCTATCTAGGTCCGTTGCCCATTTTTTTATTGGATTGTTTATCTTCCTTTTGTTAAGTTTCATGAGATCCCTGTAAATGTTGGAAATTAAACCCTTATCGGTGGTATCATTGGCAAATATGTTCTCCCATGTAGTGGGTCTTCTTGTTGTTTTGTTGATGGTTTCCTTTGCTGTGCAAAAGCTTTTTATTTTGATGTAGTCCCATTTGTTTATTTTCTCTTTAGTTTCCATTGCCCTAGGAGCATTATCAGAGAAGAAATTTCTTCGGCATATGTTTGCGATTTCGCTGCCTGTGGATTCCTCTAGTATTTTTATGGTTTCCCGTCTTACGTTTAAGTCTTTTATCCATTTTGAGTTTATTTTTGTGTATGGTGTGAGTTGGTGATCTAGTTTCATCCTTTTGCATGTATCTGTCCAATTTTCCCAACACCATTTATTGAAAAGACTGTCTTGACTCCATTGTATGTTCTTGCCTCCTTTGTCGAATATTAATTGGGCATAGTGGTTTGGGTTGATTTCTGGGGTCTCTATTCTATTCCATTGATCTATATGTCTGTTCTTGTGCCAGTACCAAGCTGTTTTAAGAACAGTGGCTTTGTAATACAGTTTGATATCTGGTATTGAGATCCCACCTACTTTGTTCTTTCTGAGGATTGTTGCAGCTATTTGGGGTCTTTTTTTATTCCAGATGAATTTTTGGAACGTTCGTTCTAGATCTGTGAAATATGCTGTTGGTAATTTAATGGGGATTGCATTGAATCTATAAATTGCTTTGGGTAGTATGGACATTTTGATGATGTTGATTCTACCAATCCATGAACACGGTATATTCTTCCATCTGTTTATGTCTTCCTCTATCTCTTTTTTCAGTGTCCTGTAGTTTTCAGCATATAAGTCTTTTACCTCCTTAGTTAAGTTTATTCCTAGGTATTTTAATTTTTTTGGTGCAATGGTAAATGGGATTGCTTCTGTAGTTTCACTTTCTGTAAGTTCACTATTGGTGTAAAGAAATGCCATGGATTTCTTAGCATTAATTTTGTATCCTGCTACATTGCCGAATTCATTTATTAAGTCTAATAATTTTTTGATGGAGTCTTTAGAGTTCTGTATGTACAGTATCATGTCATCTGCAAATAAGGACAGTTTTACTTCTTCTTTTCCAATCTGGATGCCTTTTATTTCTTCTTCGTGTCTGATCGCAATGGCTAGTACTTCCAGTACTATGTTGAACAGGAGTGGTGAGAGGGGGCATCCCTGTCTTGTTCCTGTTTTTAGGGGGAATGGTTTTAGTTTTTGCCCATTGATTATGATGTTGGCTGTGGGTTTGTCATATATGGCTTTTATTATGTTGAGGTATGATCCCTCAATTCCTATCTTGCTGAGAATTTTTATCAAGAAAGGGTGTTGGATTTTGTCAAATGCTTTTTCCGCATCAATTGATATGACTACGTGGTTTTTCTCTCTCAATTTGTTTATGTGATGTATCACATTTATTGATTTGCGGATATTGTACCATCCTTGCATCCCTGGGATAAATCCTACTTGGTCATGGTGTATGATCTTTTTGATGTACTGCTGGATCCGATTTGCTAGGATTTTGTTGAGGATTTTGGCATCTATGTTCATGAGGGATATTGGCCTGTAATTCTCTTTCATTGTATTGTCTTTATCTGGTTTTGGGATTAGGGTGATGTTGGCTTCATAGAATGAGCTGGGAAGTGCTCCTTCCTCTTGGATCTTTTGACATAGTCTGAGGAGGACAGGTTTTAGGTCTTCCTTGAATGTTTGGTAAAACTCCCCTGTGAAGCCATCTGGCCCCGGGCTTTTGTTTGCTGGAAGCTTTTTGATTACTGCTTCAATTTCCTCCATAGTTATTGGCCTATTGAGATTTTTAGATTCTTCCTGGTTAAGTTTTGGAAGGTTGTATTTATCTAGGAATATGTCCATTTCCTCCAGGTTGTCTAGTGTGTTGGAGTAGAGTTGTTCATAGTATTTTCTAACAATCCTTTGTATTTCTATGGGGTCTGTTGTTATTTCTCCTCTTTCATTTCTGATTTTGTTTATTTGGGTCCTCTCTCTTTGTTTCTTGGTGAGCCTGGCTAGAGGTGTATCAATCTTGTTTATCCTTTCAAAGAACCAGCTCTTGGTTTTGTTGATCTTTTGTATTGTTTTTTTGGTCTCTATGTCGTTTATCTCGGCTCTGATCTTTGTTATTTCCTTCCTTCTGCTTACAGTGGGCTTTTTTTGTTGCTCTCTTTCTAATTCTTCGAGTTGTAGAGTTAGGTCATTTATTCTCATTGTTTCTTGTTTCTTGCAGTAGGCTTGTAGAGCTATGAACTTCCCTCTCAAGACTGCTTTTGCTGTGTCCCATAGGTTTTGGATTGTTGTGTTTTCATTGTCATTTGTTGCCATGATGTTTTTTATTTCTTCTTTGATCTCACTGGTGACCCAGTCGTTGTTTAATAGCATGCTATTTAGTCTCCATGTGTTTGATTGTTTTGGATTGTTTTTGTTGTAGTTGATTTCCAGTTTTATGCCTTTGTGATCTGAGAAGATACTTGATATGATTTCAATTTTCTTGAATTTGAAGAGACTTTGTCTGTGACCCAATATATGGTCTATCTTTGAAGATGACAAATGTGCACCCGAGGAGAATGTATATTCTGTGACTTTGGGGTGAAATGTTCTGAAGATGTCAATTAATTCCATCTGATCTAGTGAGTCATTTACGATTGATATTTCTTTGCTGAGTTTCTGTTTAGAGGATTTGTCCAGTGGAGATAATGGGGTGTTAAGATCCCCTACTATGATTGTATTGCTGTCAATCTCTCCCTTGATCTTCTCCAGAAGATTTCTTACGTATTTGGGTGCTCCTATATTGGGTGCATATATATTTACCAGAGTTATTTCTTCTTGTTGGACTGCTCCCTTTAGTATTATGAAGTGGCCTTCTTGATCTCTTTTTATGTCCTTCACTTTGAGATCTAATTTGTCAGATATAAGTATTGCTACCCCGGCTTTTTTTTCACTTCCATTGGCCTGAAAAACCTTTTTCCATCCCTTCACCATCAGTCTGTGTGCGTCTTTTTTTCTGAGGTGGGTTTCCTGTAGACAGCAGATATATGGGTCATGTTTTCTTATCCACTCATTTACCCTATGCCTTTTGACTGGGGAATTTAATCCATTTACATTTAAAGTTATTATTGATAGAAACTTGTTAGTCGCCATTTTTGTTCTTTACCGCTGCGTTCCTTCTTTGTTTCCTGTTTTTTCTATTTACAGCAGACCCTGTAGCATTTCTTGCATTGCTGGTTTGGTTGTAATAAACTCCCGTAGACCGTTTTTGTCTGTGAAGCTCCTGATTTGACCCTCAGTTTTGATTGATAGCCTCGCTGGGTATAGTATTCTTGGATTCAGACCCTTCCTTTGCATGACTTTGTATATTTCATTCCATTCCCTTCTTGCCTGATGTGTTTCTGTTGAGAAATCGGTCGCTAGTCTGATGGGGGATCCTTTGTAGGTAACTTTCTGTCTCTCTCTGGCTGCTTTTAAGATTCTTGCTTTGTCGTTGGTGTTTGCCAATTTAATTATTATGTGCCTTGGTGTCGGTCTTTTCGGGTTCATTTTGTTTGGGACTCTGTGAGCTTCTTGGATTTGTGTGAGTTTTTTCCTCCCTATATCAGGGAAATTTTCTGTTACTATTTTTTCAAACAGGTTTTCTATTCCTTGCTCAGTTTCCTCTCCTTCTGGCACCCCTATTATTCAGATGTTGTTTCGTTTAGCATTGTCCCAGAGTTCTCTTAGGCTCTCCTCCTGCTTTTTAATTTTTTTTTCTAGAAACTGTTCTGTTTGGGTATTTTTTTCTACCTTGTCTTCTAGCTCGCTGATGCGGTCCTCTGCTTCTTCTAGTCTACTGTTGATGCTTTCTATTGAGTTCTTTATG